TCAGCAAAGGGCCTTTGCACCGGCCACACCAGGCCATACGAGCCAATCTCTCCGTTCACTCGACTCGCACAGAGACACTCGGGTTTCTGCGTGACCAAAATCTGGGCCACTCGTCAGCAAGCCCATTTCCACCCCTGATCGACTCCTCGAACCCCCGCCGCCAGCGCCCTTCGTCTGTGGCAACAGGTGGCTTTCCCGTCCGACCTCGAAACCCCCCTCCCTCCCTTCAGCCCCCAGTCGGTACACACGGAGCGTCGCCATCCCAGTGTTTCAAATAGGGCCAACACAAATCCGAACGAGCAGCAGTGACTTTTCCTCGACGCATTTCTCCCTTCACTTTCCTTGCGTCAAAGTGTGTACGGAGCGGCATTCCGTGGACCAGCAGCAAAGACCAAACGCCGCGCGATCTGCCCTTCTGAGAAACGACGATCGCACCGAACCAACCCCAAACGCATTGCCTGACCGCAGGGCTTTGGACATCGAGGCCTCGGCACGCCGGCACCACAGCGTAGCCAGGCGTTGGTTTGGATATATTTCTGGACCACGACAACCTCATTGGTTGTTTCTTTTCCGGTTGGACCCCGTCAAGGACAATAATCTTGCACTTCGGATCGAAACCGCGACTGCGCAAAGGAAGCACGTGGGGCAAGGGTCCATTTCGAATCGCATTCGAGCCTCCTGCTTCTTTCTACCAACAAGGCCTCCTAAACTTTGAACACCGGTCATTTTCAAGCGGCGGAAGGAAGCAATGGCGTACGAGGGCGGTTATCCGGCGCAGCGGCCTTACCCTGGCCCCGGAGCGCAACGGCCAGGTCCACCTCTCGAAGCCTATCAGCAAGGCCCTCCCCAACACTACGATGCGCCTCAGCAGCAATACGACGGCTACCAGGACAACTATGCCTATGATCAATACGACAATGGTGGTTATGGCCAGAACTACGGCGGGCAGCACCATCACGACCAGGGCTATGGTCGTGGCCCTCCACCGAACCAGCAATATCCTCCCCAAGATCAATACGGCCCTGGCCCAGGCCCAGGCCCTGGGCGTGGAGGCAGGCCGCCGATGGGACGGGGTGGTCCGATGGCGAGACCCCCAACCGCTGACTCTGCAAGAAGCGCCCCTCTCCCTCCTCGAGGCGGCCCTCCTGGCCCCGGCAGAGGCTTTGCAAATGGTCCACCGGCAAGAGGAGGTAGGCCGATGCAGTATGAGCGTTCGGCCAACTCGGACCCGGCATGTGAGTACAGCATCCGCATCTCTGAGTTGCTTACCGTACTGACAAAGATCAGCGAGCCGCCAGCGACCCTCGATGGATGCAGGTCCGATCAGTCCTGACACGGTTGGAGGATTCGGCGGCGCCTTTCCGGTTTTCCCTGGCCATCAGCGCCGGGCAGATTTTGAACAAGAGTCAGATATGATTAGCCAAATGGCCGGCATGGACATTGCAGGGCCGCGAAACGGGCCCCCTCCCGGAGGCGGTGGTGCCCAGCGTAATCAGATGCGATCTCCTGAGGGCGATTATGGCCGGCCTCCCATGGATGCCAGAGGTCCTCCCCGAGGCTACCAACAATATGAGAACTCGCGTCGAGGCCCAGCTCCAGCACCCCAGTTCGGCGCCAAATACCGAGACGACGCATACGGGGCTCCTCCACCAGCCAACGAATTCGGCCCGCCAGGTCGCAGTATGACCATGCCGACAAATGTAGATCCCATGGCTCGGGGGCCTCTTCAACGTACGGGAACAATGCCGTACAATACAGCGCCCGACCGAGGGGTCCCACCACCGGCAAGGCCAGCGACGTCGCAAAGTCACCGGCCACCGCCTCAACGCATGTACCCGCCGGTTCAAGAAGTCCCGCAGTCCGCGGGGGGCTACGGAGGCTACGACAACGGCCACCAGGGCTATTACGGGGGCGATCACCAAGAAGTAGTCGGTGATGTTCTCGATTCGTACTACACTCCCTCATGGATGAGCAACCCGGAGTATGCTCGAAACCCGCCATCCGTCAACTCGGGAGCTCCCAGCTTTGAGGAACCCGGTAGGGCCCGCGGGTCCTTCGACCATCAGGGACACCCTGCAATGCCGTCAGGACCACAACCCGGGCCAGGGCGCACACCGGATCTCAGGGGCATGAAGTCTCAACCAAATTTGAGGCAACCCCAGGCGGCTGTGTTCGAGATGGTAGGCGACGCGCCTCCCATGCCTCCAATCAACGGCGCACGGCATGGCTCTCACCAGGATTCATATGATCAGAATGGATGGGATCACCAGTCGGGTGCGGGCGGGCCAGTGCCGGTGAGACCTGGTCTACCGAATGGCCCCGCGCCCCAGCGATCAGATACCTTGCCTCACCATCCCGCGCCAGTGCGTCCCGGGCACATGGCAGGCTCCGCCATGAACGTGAATGACCGACCGATGCCAGTGCGCAACTACAATGGCACATCGCAAAGCCCAATGGCCGGCCCACAACAACAAGCTCCTCCCGAACCGCAACGCAATTCTGGAACGCCCGCCTCCACCAAAGCAGCTCAACCACCCGTAACAAATGAGGAGCTCGAGCACCTACGCATGGTTATCAAAAATGACCCCAACGACCAGGAATCTGCTCTGCGACTGGCCAAACGACTGATCGAAGCGGCTGATGTGCTTGTCGCCAAGATTGCCGACCAACGAGGCCGAGGCCGCGCACGAGAGCGATACCTGATGGACGCGAGCAAAATCCTGAAGAAGCTATCAAATGCCCAGAACCTCGATGCGATGTTTCTGTACGCCGACTCACTCGGACGTGGCTTGTTCAGCGCTGAGCCGGAGAACAAGGAGGCTTTCACCTTGTATCAATCGGCCGCCAAGCTTGGGCACGCCGCTGCTGCGTACAGGACGGCTGTGTGTTGCGAAATTGGCAATGAAGATGGTGGCGGCACGAGGCGTGATCCGCTGAAGGCGATACAGTGGTACAAGAGGGCTGCAACGCTCGGCGACACGCCTGCCATGTACAAGGTGGGCATGATACTGCTCAAGGGCTTACTCGGCCAGCAGAAGAACCCGCGGGAGGCGGTAGGCTGGCTCAAGCGCGCTGCCGAGCGCGCGGACCCTGAGAACCCTCATGCGCTTCACGAACTTGGCTTGCTCTACGAGTCAGCCGGGCCGAATGATGCGATTGTCAAGGATGAGACATATGCACTGCAACTGTTCCAGCAGGCCGCAGAGCTGGGTTACAAGTTTTCCCAATTCCGCCTTGGCTGCGTGTATGAGTATGGACTCATGGGCTGCCCCGTCGACCCAAGACAGTCCATCATGTGGTATTCCAAGGCTGCCACCCAGGAAGAGCATCAGGCCGAGTTGGCCCTCAGTGGCTGGTACCTGACCGGAAGCGAGGGGGTTCTTCAGCAGAGCGACACCGAAGCATACCTATGGGCGCGCAAGGCCGCGATTGCGGGCTTGGCCAAGGCTGAGTATGCCATGGGTTACTTTACCGAGGTGGGCATTGGTGCGCCAGCGAACTTGGAGGATGCGAAGCGCTGGTACTGGCGCGCGGCCGGTAAGTATGGTGACCCTGCGACGTGATAAACGGTAACTGACCGACGATTCTTTGCAGCCCAAGATTTTCCCAAGGCGCGCGAGCGACTAGAGGATCTGAAGAGAGTCGGCAATGGCAAAGCAGGCCCCCGACAGCGCGAGCGTGTGTCGCGGAGCAAGATGGGTAAACAACAAGAGGGTGAGTTTTGGGCCCGGATGTTATTGCAATCAGCACCAACTAATGGCTATAGTGTTTCGATGAACTGCCACAAAGCACAGAATTAAACATACGGATGTTCGGAGCTGCAGCCGGGCTGCCTCCTCTCACGTGGAACGAACAACGTGCGCTAGATAATAATTGCCCCATGCTAATGAGCAATGCAAGCGGGTACGGAGCATGCAACAAATTATTGGACTTCAACTACCTCGAGAAGCGATTAGCTGCATACATTGGAGCTTGGCGGACCAGCAGGAGCCAGGACAAGCTTCATATTTTAAAATCGACGGCGAGTCCAAGGAGATGACGACCAGGGACCTGTGTGTATTCAGGTCGAGTTAATGAGGGTAGTGGCTGGTCCAAGACGACGATCGCCGGCGGAAGGAGCAGTGGCCAATGCAGCCACATCAGGTACCAGGCAATGTCGGCATCATGTAACACTGTGGTGGTTCTTGAATTTGTGCTTCTGCGAACAACCGCATGGGGCTGGGGATGATAGGTACTTGCTCTAATACGCAGATATCCCATGACCAGATCGTTAAATAGACGACTTGGGCATGGTCACTGGCAATGAGAGATATAGCTTGCCTCATGCCTCGATGTGTGACAAACAGGCATTTCAGTCATAGAAACGTCAATAGTATGTGGTGGCCTTGAGAAGTGATTCTTCCCCCAACAGCTTCGTCAGGGACACATCCCATCATTCTCAGTCCTGCACCAACCGTGCTTGCACATGATCATTTGCTTGCCTTACCATGTCGCAGTTCGCCTGATGGATCTGCGAAACATGCTCTAATTCCAAGCCTACAGAACATCCAATATCCATGGCCTTGACGACTCGTGGTAACTAGTCAAGACCAGCAGACGAGGTTGTGCTCGCGCCGGATTTCCAAGTCAGATAATCATTTATGGCGCTCTAGCGACGCTACTTTACAAGAATAGCCCGTCAGGCAATGCCTGCAGAACGTCTATCCTCTAGCCCGCCTCCTCAATCGGCCCACCTGGCCAGCGCGACGTAGGAAAAGAGGGGTCTTCAAGAAGGAGAAAGGAAAAGCTGTCGATGCCAGGCTAATCCCCTGATCCAGCCCTCTCGTTCCTCACCGAAAGTCGGTGCTCTCGATCGCCTTGCACGGCCCAGATCACTCGCTTCTCCTCCCTGTACGCCTCGGGTGCGCGACTCACGCAGCCCTGGCCAATCCCCGCAGCCCAGTCTTCCACAGCCCAGTCACCGTATAGACATGTGTCAGTCGGTGGGTGTGTGCCACCCTCTAGGATGAAGGGCTGGAGGTGCTGTCCTTGATGGGGTTGGGGACGTTGTCCTTGACGTCCTGCTTGAGGTCCTCGACGACGCCGGCGACGGAGTTCTTCTTGGACTGCTCGTACATCAGGATACGGGTGACCTGAATGATGCCGACGATGCCCATGAAGAAGTTGACGGTGGCGAGGCTGCGGAACAGGTCAGAGAGGAGAAGCTCGCTCGCCGCGTCGTGGACGACGGGGCCAGAGAGCACTTACAGGACGTTGCGGGGCTTGATAATCAAGCACCAACGGGTCCAGATGAGGCCCGTCGCCGTGAGGGCGCCGTTCTGGGTCAGGGAGAGCTTCTCAGCGGGGCGGAAGAAGTCGGAGATGCCGGCGAGGACGATTGCCCACTATAGTCGCTGGTTAGCCCGTATGTTCTGTCTGTCTGTCGCCTTCCGGCGTGTCCCATTTCCTGCGCATCTGGTGGTTTCTGCGTGCCTATCCATACCCAGCAGCCTTTACGGCACAGAGGTCTGCCGAAACTTCTAGGGCTGTATGCTACGCATTCTCATACGAATACAAGGAACAACACGGAGAGGGAAAGACCCGTCGTACGTACCTTCATGACGGGCGCCCAGAAGTGCACCGTCTTCAAGCCAATGGGGCTGTCCCACATGCGCTTGAACCAGCTCTGCTGAGCCTGGCTCTCGGCGCCGGCGTCGGCGCTCTGCCAGCGCTTGGAACCCTCGCGGAACATCCTCGCGCGGAAGGCGGGGTTCTGGAAGGCGGCACGGGTGCGGGCGCCGGCGGCACCGGTGAACATCTGCTGCTGGAAGATGGGCCGCGAAGCGCGGAAGATGTTGGTCGTGGGGGCCATCTTGCCGTTGGTGTAGAGGGAGTCTTGGAATGGATTTCTGTTGAGTAGGGTCGAAGGAGAGTCGGCAAAGCAGCGTGGTTCGGAAATCGCAGTCGTCGGGGAGGTTGTCCTGTAGAGCGGCGGTCGGGGCGGGCGGGAGAGAGCGGAGATGGACGTACGGGTGCGATTGTCACGACGTGGGAGGGCGGTTGTTCGTCTAACCCAAAAGCTCCGATCCTGGGCGGGCAACTTTTGAGGTGTGGAGGATCTTGTTGGAGGAATTGGATTGGCGTTGGGCGGAGTTAACCGGAAACAAGCGCCAGCCAGCCAGCCAGCGATAACGGGATGGCTTCCGAGACCGTTTGTGCAGCCTCAAGCAGTTGTGCAATTTCCGTGCATCAGTGTCTAAAGCGGGTTATGCACGAGGTGGGTAATCCGAGCAACGTGAATCGTCAACTTTCGTCAATCCTCAACGCCAGAGCTTCCATCCACCCCCAATTGAGCAACCAGAACAAGATACCTTTGCCGAGCCATTGAACCACCACACCTGCTTGAACCTCCGCCACCACACGCCAGCGATCATGTCTGGCAAGTACGCTTTCACCACGGCCCTCAAGGAGGTGCGCTTCCTCTTCTGCCAGACCTCCGAGCACAGTGCCGCGACCAGGTATGCAAGCAACCCTTCTCTGCCGCTGGGCCATCATTCTCAATACTGACCTCTCGTTTCCTCGGTCAGGTCTTTCCTCACGAGGACATACCCCACCATGAAGAAGCACAACCCTCAGACCCCCATCATGCTGCGCGAAGCGGCCGGCACTCTGCCCAAGGTGTTTGCGCGATACGGTTAGCACACGCCTCGAAACCACCCTCAGACGACGAGAATGAAATCGAACAAGCCCGCTGACATGTCGGTGTAGAATACGGCGTCGAGAAGTCGCAGAGCCTCGAGGGTCTGTCCGACAAGCAGATCGAGGAGACCGTGACTGGGCTGGTCAGGACCACAGCGTAGAGTGTTGGTCACGTTCGCTAGCAGGGAGGAAGACGAGGCCGACAGCGCACCTCTGTACATTACCGGCTGAATAGACTGACTGGTCCTGTTTACTTGTCGAGGATTGCATCCCGTGGGCGGTGCGGACTTCACTTATTCTACGTTTTGCAGGCTCACCCTCCCAGACGCTGGCAGATCACTGCAGAATATCGAGCATATTAACCTTGATCCAGTTGCTTCATTATCAAAGTGCTTAACCTAGAAGCTCTCACTACGAAAGGATCCACGCACATACACAGCGCGTCTGAATCCATCGTCTTCTCAACCAATTCGATTCCGCACTCTGGCCATGGCACACAAGCAAGCACGCAAACCTTTACGCTATTACGGCGGGTATTGCCCCTCGCAAGCAACCATTCCCGAATGCAAGCCCGGCCAGATAGCCTTGAATCCAGCGCCCATGCGCTCAAATGAGGTCGCAGAAAGACCTCGGAGCATCATCCTCCTGCTTGCTGTCCTCCTCCCCAGCAGGCGAGTCATCGACATCCTTGCTTCGCACGGCAGCGAGCCCGTCCTTTCGTCTTTGGAATACCACCTGAGGTCA